TTATTTACTATTTTAATGGTCTTTTTTTGAATTATTTTTTGTATTATGAAAGAAATGTGATTGTAGTTAGATAGCATTAAAAAAAATGTGATTTGTATGATTGAAGTTATCTCCTTTTGTTTATAATTTAATTTTTTAATATGATTGAAGTTAGATAAACATAAACACTCAAGGGGTTTTTTAAGGAAAATGAGATTTTTAACCCCAAGGCCTGTAGGAGATTCAATATCCCAATCTGAATTTTCTAAATTTTTTATTAAAAAAAAAATTCAGCATTTATTGATTTGGTCAAAATCTCCTGATCAGCGTTTATTAACTTTTTTCAATCCACATGCTTGCATTTATTGATTTGGTCAAAATCTCATGATCAATATTTAAAATCCCCTCATACAAATAATTATAGATACAATCTGTGTATAGTTACTGTAGTACCCTTTTCAACTTTTTTTATATACTATGATTAGTGATAAGATTGTTAAATTATTTTTCTTGCATGGACTTGGCACTTTCTTGATCTTGCTCGGAACATTTCTAATGTTGTTGTTCTTGTTGCTTCTTATCTTGTTGTTCCCCTTGATTTTTACTTTCGGCATGCCCCTTAACAACTTTCTCGTCTTGAGTGATGCTTGATGTCCCAATGCAGTCAGTAGATTGTTGTTGCTTTAAAATACCTTGACTGGTGCTTCGGTTTGTATATCTCTCAGTGCTCTTTGTTAATCGCAGCAATTGCTTTTGGAAGGAAACCAAAATCAATTGGAGATCTAATATTCGTTGATTTTGGCAATTCCTTTTATCCCCATCTCATTTATTTCATTTACTGCTGGACAGTATATTTCTTGCATGGACTTAGCATTTTCTTGATCTGGCTCAAAACATTTCTTGTGTTGTTGTGCTTCTTGCTTCTTATCCTGTTGTTGAAGAGCCCCTTAATAGCTTTCTCATCTTGAGTGATGCTTGATGCCTTGTAGTCAGTAGATTGCTGTTGTTTTAAAATACCTTGATTGGTGCTTCGGTTCGCATATCTGTCGGTGCTCTTTGGTAATTGGATTGCAGCAATTGCTTCTGGAGGAAGCTAAAATCAATCGGAGATCTAATATTCGCTGATTTGATTTGGTTTCTCCTTTTGCTTGCTAAATTCCTCTTCATTTTTGCTAAGAATCTAGAGAGATCTAGAGAGAGAAAATTTTGTTAGAGAGAGAAGCTCTGAAGTTTGCTTCTCGGCTTTGGTAATCTTTTCTAATTAATACCTCTTGAGTTGTTGAGAGTCACTTGCCACGTGTTGGGAATAGTAAGATGAGAGAACTATCCAAAGTTGATTATTCATTTACCACGGGCAAGGTGCTCTAAAAGAATAAACCTAATCCGCAAATATTTTATCTCCAATAAATACGTAAAATTATGACTGTGTTTGGTTGTGTTTCCAAACAATGATTCTACACCCATATTCAAATATGATGTTTGGAACCAGTTCTCAAATCACGTTTTCAAAACTCTGCAGAAAACTCTGTCTCCAGCGTGATTTTCAATTTTTTTTTTTTTCAAATTTGGCCTAACCGGTTGTCCCACCGGATGTCCCGTTGGACCTCCCACCGGTCGTCCGACCGGTTGATCGGAATAGTGCAATTTTTTATTTTTTATTTTTTTGCAATTGACATATATTAAATTTTTATATATTCGAAAAAAATATTTTTCGAATTTTTAATTTTTTTTTATGTGTTTTAATAGAATTTTGAGTTGTATATTTGGGTATGAGTTATAAGTTTTTGTATCAAATATCATATATCACATCAAAAATTCTCCACTCAATTCAAAACTCTTTCACCAAATAAATTTTCCACACTCAAATCATTATTCCAAAACTCACAAACTCAAAATACAACTCATACTCTCAAATCATATTTACAAAACTCTACCAAACGCAACCTATATGTTTTGCATGTGTTTCTAACATGCCATATCCTGCATTTTTTGAAAATTTGTGTGGTCGAGTGTTTGTGTTGTGGCGTGTCCGTGCTTTATAGGCAGGGATCCTCCCATGTTAATGTTTTTGTGTTGATACTCATTTTTTTCCGCAATCCCTTTTGTCCCCATCTCATTTGTTTCATTTGCCACTAGGCAGTATATTTCTTGCATGGACTCAGCATTTTTTTGATCTTGCTCGTAGCATTTCTGGTGTTGCCGTTTTTGTTGCTTCTTATCCTGTTGTTCCCCTTGATTTATACTTTTAGCGAGGCTGTTAATAGCTATTTCATCTTGAGTGATGCAGTCAATTGATTGCTGTTGCTTTAAATTACCTTGACTGGTGCTTCATTTTGCATATCTCTCGATGCTATTTCTTAATTGGATCGCAACAATTGCTTCTGGAAGGAAGCTAAAATCGATTGGAGATGTAATATTCGTTAATTTGATTTGGTTTCTCATTTTGCTTGTTGAATTCCTCCCCATTCTTGCAAGAATCTAGAGAGATATAGAGAGGAAATTTTTTTAGAGAGAGAAACTCTGAAGTTTGCTTCTTGGCTTTGGTAATCTTTTCTAAGTAATACCTCGAGTCATTGAGAGTCACTTGCCACTTGTTGGAAATAGTAGGATGAGAGAACTATCCAAAATTGATTGTTCATTTACTGGGGGCAAGGTGCTCCAAAAGAAGAAACCAAATCAACAAATATTTTTTCTCCAATAAATATATAAAATTATACGTTTTGCATGTGTTCCCAACATGTTGTGTCCTGCATTATTTGAAAATTTGCGTGGTCACGTGTCCATGTCGTGGCGTGTCTATGCTTCGTAGGTGGGGATCCTCCATTGTTAACGTTTTCATGTTGATACTTATTTTTTTTCGCAATCCCTTTTGTCCCCGTCTTAGTTGTTTCATTTGCCCTGGACAGTATATTTCTTGCATGGAGTCGGCATTTTCTTGATCTTGCTCGGAACATTTCTGGTGTTGCTATTGTTGTTACTTCTTATCCAGTTGTTCTCCTTGATTTCTACTTTCGGCAAGCCCCTTAATAGCTTTCTCATCTTGAGTGATGCTTGATGCCCCGATGCAGCCAGTAGCTTGCTATTGCTTTAAAATACCTTGACTGGTGCTTCGGTTCACATATCTGTCGGTGCTCTTTTTCAATTGGATCGCTGAAATTGCTTCTTGAAGGAAGCTAAAATCAATTAGAGTTTTAATATTCGTTGATTTGGTTTGCTTTCTCCTTTTGCTAGTTGAATTCCTCCCATCTTGCCAAGAATCTAGAAAGAGAAAAAAAATTAGAGAGAGAAGCACTAAACTTTGCATCTCGCCTTCGGTAATCTTTTTTTATTAAATACCTCTTAAGTCATTGAGAGACACTTGCCACGTTTTGAGAATAGTAGGATGAGAGAACTATCCAAAGTTGATTGTTCATTTAACTGGGGCAAGGTGCTTTTGCTTGTTGAAAGATAATTTTTGGAAGGAAGCTACAATCAATTGGCGATCAAATATTTGTTGTTTCTTCTTTTGCTACCTAAAATTTTCCCCATTCTTGCCAAGAATCTAGAGAGAAAACTGTCTTTATAGGGAGAAGCTCTGAACTTTCGATCTTGCCTTCCTTCACCTTTTCATTAATACTACTTGAGTCTTTGAGAGTTACTTGCCATGCCACGTCTTGAAAATAGTAGGTTGTTTCCTGCATGAGTTTATGTAGCAAATCATCTAGATTGAGATGTTGAAACAATATATTTTGACATGGATTACTCTCCAGACACGTGAAGGACACGCTGACATGGCGATTGCGCTCCAGACATGTGAATCAATATATTTTGACATGGCGATTACTAAAATAGCGTACCTAAGATTGATAAATTTGATATAATTAAATCTTTGACATAAAATACATGTTGCATATTTAAAATGTAACATATAATAAATATATAAAATTATATGTTTTACACGTGTGCCCAATTTGTTGTGTTCTGTGTTTTTTGAAAATTTGTGTGGTTGTGTACCCGTGTCGTGTCCATGTTGTGTCACGTGTTTGTATCTTTGCTTCTTAGTTAGGGATCCTCCATTGTTAACGTTTCTGTGTTGATGCTCATTTTCCTTCGCAATACCTTTTGTCCCCGTCTGATTTGTTTCATTTGCCACTGGACAGTATATTTTTGGCATGGAATCTGCATTTTCTTAAGCTTGCTCAAAACATTGCTGGTGTTGAGGCGGCTGTTGCTTTTTATCCTGTTCTTCTTGATTTCTATGCTTGTTGCTCCAACAGTCAGCAGACTGTTGTTGCTTTAAAAGATCATGACTGCTGCTTCAGCTGGCTTATCTCTCAGTGCTCTTTGTTGATTGGATCGCTGCAATTGCTTCTCGAAAGAAGCTAAAATCATTGGCGAGAGCAGTACTTGGGTGACCCCTTGGGAAGTCCTCATGTTGCATCCCTTTTGCCTGCTCTTTTTTATTTATCAAAAAATATATATATATTATTTATCAAATATATATATATATATATTTGCTGATTTGATTTGGTTTCTCCTTTTGTTAGCTGAATTCCTTCCGATTCTTGCCAAGAACTGTTTTTAGAGAGAGAAGCTTTCAACTTTCTATCTTGCCTTTGTTCGCCTTTTCATTAATACCTCTTGAGTCTTTGAGAGATACTTGCCACGTCTTGGCAATTGTAGGCTGTTTCCTGCATGAGTTTATGTAGCAAATCATCTAGAATTAAATATTGAATCAATATATTTTGACATGGCGATTGGCTATATTTTTATTGACAAATTGAGCAGCCAAAAACTTCCACATTATTTTATACCTGGGTCTCTTGATGCCTGATCAGTTGAGATCCCTAGGATCTTGACGAGATTTAAATGACTACTCTGAAAATGGCTACTTAGCATTCTTGTTAATTTACCATATTTAGCTCATGGCAGTTTAGTTATGGAATACTTCTTGCTCGTCTTCCTTGTTGCATATTAATATATATGGCAACTGTAATAGTTCCCTATTCTTTTACATGTATTCAATCTCATTTATATTTTGTATCTGTAATCAAATTATGGTAAAATCCAGGGATGAGGAGCTGGCAACAGAAGTAGCATGGGTGGTTGTGTATCTTTCAGCCCTTTCAAATGTTGCTTTCAGCATGTTGGTGAAGAGTGATCTCCTTCAATTACTTGTGGAAAGACTGGCAACATCAAATAGTTTGCAATTGCTCATTCCGGTAACATGCAACATAAATAAGTAAATTGGCCTTTTGGTGATTTCTTTTACTAAGTAATGCAATTAGTATTTTGAATAATTGACATGTCATTTAGATACTCCTTTCTACAATCTAGAAGTCTTTATTGAGTCTTGATTTTAGTTTAACAACATTTCATGTCAAGTTGCTAATTGGTGCTAAATGACTAAATTGTCCTCTTGGTGGAATATTTACTAGAAAATAGGGCGTTAGGTGACTGAATTTGTTCATTTGTTAACTAACTTTAACATATACATATATATTGGCCCTTGTCTTTGACCAATTGATGCAGAATGTGTATGCGCACTATATAGATTTAATTTAGGGTAAATTACACTTTACCCCCTTTATGTTTGGCTTTGAAGTTTTATTTTTCTCACTTTGACTCTTCATGTTTCAAGTTTTTTCCAATTTACTTCAAAAACTAACTTATTTCCAAAATTAGACAGAAAATAACACATTGATAGTCACGTGACATAATTTTTTTTATATTATAATTTAGATATAACTCACACCTCTAACACAAACCCAAATCCCAATGTTATAATATATTTTTCATGTCATGTGGCAGCTTTTCTATCTAATTTTGAACAGAAGTTAGCTTTAGGAGTAAGTTGGGAAAAACTTGAAACATTATGGGCCAAAGTGGGAAAATGGCCAAACATAAAGGGGGCAAAGTGTAATCTACCCATTTATTTTATTTCATAATATAACTTTTAAGTTTTAATACATATGTTTATTTATAGTAAATTAGAATATTAGCAATATTGAGTTTCTTATTATATTAGGGATCAAGTTCCAATAATATTATTAGGATTCGGTTCCCTATTTTGCATTGGGGTTTTAACCTATAAGTATTAGGTTTTTGTATTGTAATAGTTAGTTTTGGAAAAAATATTGTTGTGGCCGTGTGTGTTTGGGTGCCTTCTTATTCTCTCCCCATCTCTCTTTTCTATTCTCTTTCCAAACTAATTTTGAACTACATCAGTTAGTATCAAAGCTCAAATTCGATCCATCTTTTCTGTTCGATTCATGTGACTGCCTACTTCACAAGTCTCGTCCTATTGAACCATCATCAGATCCATCTTTGAAAGTCAAAAAAAGAGAGAAGAAAATGTTCATATGCAACCAACACTCCACCATCACAACTCCCATTGACACAGCAAGTTTCCTTGTCGTGTTCTCCGAGCCTAAGAGAAATACCTAGAACCTATACAACTTTTGTTGAATTGTCAACTAGTTGAATTTCATAGCAGAACTCAGTCAGTGCCATTGCTTCGTCACTGTCATCGTTGCTGAAATTTCATCATTCAGTACATAACGTTTGCCAATGAGTGGATCTTGCTTTGAGCTGCTGGAAATATATATATATATATATATATTGGGACAATATTTCTGTGTCTTTGGCAGAGCAATTGTGCCGCAGAAGTTGGGTTTCAATAGGAGAAAGATGATGGTCCAAAACAGAAAGGAAAAAAAAAGAACGTCCCAACCCAAATTGACCCAGATAATATTCCACTAAACTAACCCAGCAACTGCCTAGCTAAAACTCCCAATTCAGCCCATATGTACTTGACTCAGCCCACTAAGCTAAACATGGGTCCATAATCAGCTCAGAAACCTCCCAAATAATGGCTTGCCCACCTAAAGTAACCCAACTCCTGCCTCAATAAGCCAGCCCCTTCAACACATAACAGGTCAATCTGAGTCACAGCTTTCAGATCACAACAGTACCTGTTCAACCCCATATTAAACCCAGTCCAATTCAAAAAAGAAAAAAGAAACCCCTTTTTACCCCCATTAACCATGTTCACTAACATGGAGTTATACTAAAAATTTGATGCGTTACATCAAAACCTACAAGGATTTAAGGCCTCCCCAAACCAAATGTCAGCACAATTGGCCAAAATGCAGTCAAATTTGGATAGACTGTTGGTCCTTGTTTAGGAGATATTTTGGACATTACTCAAAATGCTTGTGTGGATCATATGCAAAATGTTGACCAAGTCATTCTAATGTCTGAGGAAAGTGAAATTCTTTTGGAAGAACATATGGGAGTCCAAGATGCTGTTCTCACACCAACAATGCTCCTACTGAAAGAAGAGCTTCTTGAATTTACAGACGCATTCAATTTGTCGGATCCTATTGATGTCCCACCAACTGATTAGTTGGTCAAGTTCAAAAGGATTGATTTTATTGGTATTGAAGCTTTCTTTTGTGTAGTCAATAGATGTTTGGTGGACCTTGTCAATAGCCTAATTACAGGGATTCGTTTAACTGAAACAAAGATCAGACAGTAAAGCATATTCCGAGTACTTGATTCTGTGGTATGGAAGAGTGCAATAATTCAGAGTGAACTCGAGGTCGAGTTCTTTTTCTCAGTCGGGGAGAATGATGTGGAATGTGTATGCGCCATGGAGATTTAATTTAAATCATATTGTTATTTTTAATACATATATTTATTTCTTTTATTTGTAGTTAATTAAGGTATTAGTAATATTTAGTTTCTTATTATATTAGGGATTATGTTCCAATAATAATAGGATTCGATCTCATATTTTGAATTAGGGTTTTTATTCTATTAGGTTTCTACATGGTAATAGTTAGCTTTGAATATTATTATGTTTAAGGTTGTGGCCATTTGTATTAGGGCTGTGACTCTCTTCTTCTTCTTCTTCTCTCCCCCTCTCTTGTTAGGGCTGACTCTCCTCTTCTTCTCTCCCCGTCTTCTCTATTCTATTTCCCTACTGCGTACTACATCACCAGTTAGCAGTAACAATAGGAGACGGCTATAAATGCAAAATGCATCTGTAACATGGATGTGTCTGTTATTGTTTGTTTTACCCTATTTTGACTACTCTTGTAGGATGAGTACTGGTTACATGACACCACAAAAATTATTTTCATTTTAATGAGCATGTAATCGGATTGGAGAGAATATCCAATGCATGTAATTGTGTGGTCACATTGTTTGTGAAGTAAGATTGATAAGAGCATTTTAAGTGAGATATTAGCAGTAAAACATTCTTCAAAATGCATTTTCTTGCAGTTTATTAATCATCCCTCCATTTTCTAAGCTTATGTCACTGACTTACTGCAAGGTACAAAATCTTGAGGTTACATTAAATAATGGACAAAAATAGTAGTTGAACGATATGTAACACCTTTCGTTGCTTGACATGTATGTCAATTTGTGTGTAAATTAAACAGTAAATGGAACTAAAAATTAAGCTCATAAATTTCTGGAATTATTTCTAGGTCTGAACCTTTTTGACATTTTTTTTCAGGTACTGCGTAGTCTAGGTAATCTTGTTGCCGGTGATGCTCACACAACTAATGTTCTTGTTGCTGGACATGGAATCACAGGCTAGTTTATTACATATATCTCTTGCTAAGAGGTGAAACTTCTGTTTTTCATCAGATCCTGTTTTGTTAATGCCCGGCATTTTATAATGTTTTCAGATAATGTCATAGCAGCTCTAATTAAATGTCTGAAAAGTGAGCACCGGGTATTGAAGAAGGTATGTTTTTATGCCTTTATTGTTATACACCATTAAAATTGATCAAAGATTCTCACTCGACGCTTTCAATGGTGTAGGAAGCAGCTTGGGTGCTATCTAACATAGCAGCTGGTTCCATTGAACACAAGCAGTTGATTTATTCAAGTGAAGCTGTACCATTGTTACTGCGACTACTTTCAACAGAACCGTTTGATATAAGAAAGGAAGTAGCATATGTTTTAGGTAACCTCTGTGTTGCTCCTTCTGAAGGTTCCGGAAGGCCAAGTTTGATTCTGGATCACTTGGTTTCCCTTGTCAGTAAAGGATGCCTTCCGGGTTTTGTAGATTTGGTCAGGTCTGCCGATACTGAGGCTGCAAAACTAGGACTTCAATTCATGGAGCTGGTAAGAATTATCTATTCAGTTTTTGCTTAATAGACCATATCAATTAGCAAGTGGCTCTTTATTTCTTGTTTTTTTCATGGCTTCTTGATTGTTTCTATTAGATTACTTCTATGAAGCACCGACATTTCAAAACAAGTGCCGTATCCATCTTGGGACACTCGGACACAGTGGGGACACGTATGGAACATGCCATGGCATGTCCTCTTATTTAATTAATTTATTTTTAGGGAACACTTTAGGGACATGCTAAGTTGTCTTTTTTCTCATTTTCTTTAGTGTTTTTGATGAATGTTGAATATTTATTATATTTTCTTAGATTTAAATACTTAATAAATTATTCATAAAAATATATATATATATATATATAAAACAAATTTATACACATGCAAAAAATACAAGCCAACTTTCTATGACACAACAATGGTACAGTTTGAAGTGATGTTTGCTCAAAAGAAAAAAAGTCTCAAATGATGGTACAAATTACATAGGCGGTGCACAACATGGGACAGTGTTATTCAGCCAGTGGGGGTCATCACGGGCCCGTTTATATGCTTGTAAAAAATCATGTCGATTGGATATCAATAACTATATGATCAAATTAGTTTTGTATAAAAAAATGAACGTTGAACAAATTAACGGTTAACAAAAAACTAATCAATCAGATTACTATCGATATCCGATCAACGTGATTTTTTACAAACGTATAGTACTCGACAAGTTCTACACATTGAACGGTTTCGATTATCAAAAACAAGACCCGTGATAGGCTCCTACGGACCGAACAGTACTGTCCTGTGTTGTGCTCTGACTGGAGGCACCGTCCAGTTCTGAAGTATGCAACATATAGTACTGGCTTCATGGTACAAGGGATGTCAGTAGCATTTATATATTTAGGGGTAATATGGTAATTTTGTTATTTTGTATAATATTTTAATATACATTTTTTTGTAAAATAGTTAAAAAATTATCTTAAAAAATCATATTTTTTTCCTCTATTTTTTTTATTTAAAAAGTCAAAAAATATATTTATAACCATTTTGTTTGTGTGTGTCTATCTATATATTGTTTGAAAATAATAATAATAATAATAATAATAAGAGTGGTCATTATCTATTTAGCTTGGTTAAAATATGTATATATATATTTAGGCTCTTATTTATTCTCTTACTTTTGTCATTGTTTATCTTATATATAATAGTTAGTGATTGATTTTTTGTATAATATAAAGTTATTAATTATTAAAATAAAATGTAAAAAACTCAATTTATAATGATTTAAAAATATGAAATATATTGGATCATACTTAAAAATTTACAAAAAATTGATCAATATTTATTTTTAACCCAATAAATATGATCATGGGAAAAAAATATGCGCATCGGTAAATTTTTTTCAAATTGTGCGAAAAATAAAAAAATTCACGGTTCCGGTTACCACAACCGTTATACTACGGCCTTTACACCCCGCAACCGCAACCGCGTCACCGCCACCATTACGGCGACCGCAACCGCTTTTCAGAACCTTGCTTGTAATGCATTCACGGTGAATTTTAAAATGGAGTCACAATTAACAAGTTCCCTTCCGGTTAACTAAACAATGTTTGATTTTTTGTTTCGTGTGCAGGTCTTAAGGGGGATGCCAAACAGCGAGGGTCCAAAGCTTGTTGAGAGAGAGGATGGGATCGATGCCATGGAAAGATTCCAATTTCACGAAAATGAAGAGCTTCGAAACATGGCTAATGAACTGGTTGATACATATTTTGGGGAGGATTATGGGCTCGATGAGTAAAAGGAGAATTGTGAACCGAGTGACTGATCCCATCTCCCACTCCCATGTACGCAATTGGCGCACATTGAGTTGGCCTCATCTTTTGTGCAAGTTAAAATCAATCATAGAATTTGCCAAATGTTTGTTCATAGTTTTGACCGTGAAGACAAAAAGTTCAGTCTTGTAAACTTTGGTGTAAGCATATCAGCTAAAGCGGTGTTGATTATGTTGATTATGTATCCTCCGGTATACGGTAGTGTTGTAAGAAACTGTCATTGTTCTTGGCATGTGTCCTATTGTGGAATTGTATTTTCGGCTGAAGATTATAAGATCGAAGACGAACAGTCCAGCTTGTGATCATCTTGACGTTTTGACGGGAAAAATGGGCTTGCTTTGTTTTTTTGTTTTTTGTTTTTTGGGCACAAACAGAGAACATCAGTATTTTGTGGTATTTCAATCTTTTTCCATTTGGTTGACAAGTTAAGAATTGAGAGTGGTAATTTCTATAAAATTATTACATATTTATGAAAAAATTTACGATCTTAATTATCAATATTTATAAAGTTTATCACTCATTTGTATTTATTTTTCTGAACATCCATTGAAAAGTAATTTTCCCTATTATTAATAAAAGTGGGTGCAATTAGTAATTTGTCTAATAATTATTTAAAACAGTTTGAGATAATCTTTCCTTGGGGAATTTGATGTTTTTTCCAAGAATAATATTATACAAATAATTAGATGTTATGATTTGTGGAGATAGAGAAAAAAAAAGAATAATGAAATAAAAACTAATTAATTTAATATTTTTTTTCTTAATATAATAATATATTTTTATTTTGTGGTACTTAACGTGACATTTTCTACTTAATTTTAAACAGAAAACTTTAGGAATAAATTAACCAAAATTTGAAGCATAAAAAGTTAAAATGGATATTTGTTTTTTTGGGTAAATTACACTAACACTCCTTGAGGTTTATATTTATTACAGTTCTCCCCTCACTTTTTAGAAATTACATCTCCCCTCTTGAGGTTTAAAGTTTCATTACAGATTCCTCCCTTCAGCAATTTAATTTTTTTAAATACCAATTTTGTCCTCATTAAGTAAATTACATTGACAATCCTCACATTTTAGAAATTACAATCCCATCCCTAAAGTTTAAAGTAGCATTACCAATTGTCCCCTAGGTTAGTATTAGTTGGAAAAAAAATTCATTGAAAAAAAAAATTAATTGGAAAAAAAATTATTTGAAAAAAAAAATTAATTGGAAAATTTTTTTGTTGGTATAGTTTTTAAATTTCTGATTAAAAACCAACGTAAGCTCATTTTTTGGATTTAAGTTTTTTCCTCAAATTTACAAACTAAGACAACCATTTATAAACCAAAAAAATTATCAAACAAGTTTTTATGATAGTTTTTAAAATTTTTGTAAATATAAATTGAAAACTGAAAACGAAATGGTTACCAAACAGGTTTGATGGTAAAAATGTCGTAAAATTAACAAATAATTAAATAAGTTACCAACATAAGAAATGACTTATCAAAAGATTCTTAAGCTATGCATGGTTTGATTTTTAGAAAAAAAAATATAAATTAAAAATTAATTTTGTTAAGAAATAAAAAGTAAAAAAGTAAAAATATTATGTGTTTGGTGGTACATAGCCTAAGAATTTAGTATTCTTAGGCTATGTATGGTTTGATAATTATTTTTTATTTCTTAATCAAATTAATTTTTAATTTTTAAATTTTTCTTCTAAAAATCAAATCATACATAACCTAAAAATCTTTTGATAAGTCATTTCTTACGTTGGTAACTTATTTAATTATTTGTTAATTTTATGACATTTTTACCATCAAGCCTGTTTGGTAACCGTTTCGTTTTCAGTTTGAAACTTATATTTACAAAAATTTTAAAACTGTCATAAAAACTTATTTGATAATTGATGGGTCATTTAACACACCAAAAATAAACACTAAACTACACCAAATTCTTTTAGAATAATGGCAAGTCCAGGTCTCGATCCATAGGGATAATTGTGAAATTAAACTAATTTAATTGTTAAATTCCTAAATTAATTTTGATAAAAAGATTGATTGTTCATAACCTAATTTAATAACAAATAAATTAAATTAAGGAATTAAATTATCAATAATAAATGAAATTGGGTTTACTGATTTGGAGAAAAACCCTAGGGTAAAGAGTCCACTACTAGTCACGTAAAAAGGGTTTTCAATTGAAATCAATTATGCTATGGTTTGAACGCATTAATGCTTCACAACTACAAGCTCAAAGCATTTAATAAGAAGATCATCACATTCAATGTACGAGCACGAACCATCTCAAGTAGCACGAATCGTTCACTCTAAACTAAGATAGTGACACGACTTGTCCCTCGTAGTATGGTTTGTCTCATACCTTGAATGTGAAAGAAATAGAGAATTATTGTATGGAAGACATTCAACAATCACAGAAAAGCCGAATACTTGAAGAAATAATGAAAATTATATTAAAAAAACTTCTAAATCACCATACAAATGTTCAAGCCTTTACATAATTAAAAATCAAAAAAGAAAAACTAATTACATGCCTAGGGTTTCATCAAAACCCTAGAAAATGAGACTAGCCACTCATGGAGGAGTGAAATGAGGTAGATGGAGAAGGAACCATCATGGGAGACATCCTTGAAGCTTCAAGTTCCTCTTCCCTTTCAAACCCTAGCCTCTCTCTTTAGGTCAAAACAAGTTCAGAACCCTATTCCAGCCTTTTCCTTGCCTTTTTATACTTCTGATCCCTTCCAAACAGGTTTAAAACGTCGGGCACAATTTCCCAAAAAAAGTCAACGCACGTGCGGAAAAGTCAACTCTCTCCAAATTCTGTCTTTTTGCCCGTTTTATGCTCCGACTATGTACAACCTGATTGACATTCAACACACATAAAGTATACAGTTTGACCAGCAAGTGAAGTTAAAAGATTCTAATTAACGGCCTCAATGATGTACAATTCGGCCTTAATCACATCCCCCAACTTACAACTTGCTAGTCCTCAAGCAAGTAAGATAAAATAAAATTAAACAAAATCTATCTATTTCCTCTTTCGTGGGAAAACGGTTGCATTTAGCATATGCAACAAGCTTTTAAACCACAAGGTTACCCCAAGTGGACGAGTAAAGTCTCGTGAGGGTTTCCAGAAATGATACCTACAAACATTAATATATTCATATATACTCAACAACAATTGACCACACTACTCCACCTAACAATCAACTTATGTGTCACTACAGTGTGATATTGAGACATCATGAGTCATTAAAGGCACAGTGGACAAGCATGAAGGAACCTATTGAGTCAAAACCACAATTCAGTTAATACAAAAGTAAACTCCCCTATACTTGTGCATGCTAGTAGACAAGTCGTGAGTATCCTTGGTGTAAAGTGCAATCTCCCTATTAGTTAATTGTCCACTATAATAGTTCAATGTAACTCATAATAACACCCAACATATAAAGAAAAACTAACCTGTTGCAGCCAAGATTCTCAAAAATATTTATTTATTTATTTATTATTATTATTTTTTTTTTGATGATTGTGCAATGTCTTGATCCATTAAGCTTTCTAATCAACCCATGTAACAAGTATTGGGCCAATGACTCCCAAACCAGATGGTTTTAGGGCACCAGGTATAAAGACACCCCTACGGGCTTAATAACTCGAGTTGAAAAGGTTACGAATCCGAACAAGTCATTCTTCTTATTTTTCCTTAATTGTGCAATGTCCAAGTCTCTTAAGCTTTCTAATTAACCCATGTAGCAAGTTTTAGGCCAATGACTCCCAAACCAAACGGTTTTAGGGCATTAGGTGTAGGGACACCCCTACGGGCTTAATAACTCGAGTTAAAAAGGCTACGAACCTAAACAAGTCGAGTGATTTTTTTTTTCTTTTTTTTTAAGAATCTTGGCTCCTCATTTATTCTTTTCTTCAACTCTAGCTATTATCAATGATGTACACCAAGGATTATAATAAAAAGATCACCGCTATGATAGTGTGTTCATGTGAATTAAGACATACTCATGACAAGTGTATTAATACCACAAACACAGACAACTCTCATCGTGCAAACATCGCATGCAAGTATCTACCCAATAAACCATTTTCATACAAGTCTACTTTGCTCTCCAATAAACAAATGCAAATATCATCACTGTACTAGCAAAAAGTCACATCAAGTGAAGTAATACAATCAAGTGAAACAGGTATAAGTATGAATTATGAGCCAAATAGAAATGCACAAAAGAAAATATAACCCCCATCCCCCAAATTGAATATGACATTGTCCTCAATGTAAAAGTAAAGAGAAATGGGAGAATATTACCAAAATTGTAGGTGCATAGCAGGGTAGGCAGAGAGTAACATATACACACTTCACACTTCTCTTTTTTTTTCTTTTAAAAGAAAGAATTAAATAAATGAATAAAAATGACATTAAATTAAATTAACTAAATTATAAAATAAACTAAACTAAACTAAACTAAACTATAAAATACCTACATTTCACCTAATTTCACACATATTTTTTCTTACAAGGTTCAAATCCCTTCCAAAATCTTTTAACCAAACACAGTGTATGAAGTGGTAAACTTGGGTCTTATTTTTGTTTTATTTAAATTTTAAGCATGAAAGAGAAATTAAAGAACACATTGCATAATATCGTCGAATATTACCTAGCAATTTTCTGAAGTTGAGAGATGGATTTGGGAAGCATATTACTTATCCTTACAAGGAAAAAACCCTATGGCTTCTAAATTTTTATCACAGATATGAAGATTTTTCTCCTCGGTCGCAATTTTTTTTTTTTTTTTTTTGAAAAATCGTCGTCCCGCACGTGCGGCTTGGTCAATGCACTTGGCCCTCGCACCTGCTTATTAAGCAGTGTGCAAACTCACAATTGTGGGATTTCTCCGCACGTGCGTGAATTTTTCTGCACGTGCGGGAAATAATTTTTTTTTTTTTACAGCAAGTACAACATAGATTTTTTTATTTTATTATTTTTTTAAAATTGAACAAGTATAACACTTTCTTTCCTTTTTTTTTTAAAAGAAAGAAAATAAACATGAAAACATGCTCTTTTTTTCTTTTTTTTTATTATTTAAAAATGTGGTTAAATACTTGACTTCTCAAATACCACAAAGCAGAAATCAAGATCTTACCCAGGCTAGGGAGGGTCCCTTCCACCCACACGCATGCAATGACCTTTTTCTGCTACATTGCAACAGCATAGTTTAACAAAAATAAGAAGCACTCGCAAGCGTACATGCTTCAAAAAAATGGAAAACTAACTCTCAGCACCTAACAAAAGGCACCAGAGTTATGGCATAAAGTTGCCACTTTAGAATGCCCCAGGT